TTCTGCCGAGGTAACCCAACTCAAAGAAGAACTTAAGTGTCGAGCGGCTTCCTTCATCGTTGAGAAAACTTACGCTATGTACAACATGAGGATAAAAAACTTGGAATAGGCCAAACCTGGTATCATTGACTTCAATGCTAAAATTGCTAAGGCCTGTGAGCTTGAGTTGGCTGCTAAAAATGGTCTCCCCGTGGAGCCTGCTGCTTCCGGTTCCGAAACTTCGGGAACTGAAGAGGAAGCGGAAGACAAAGATGTTAAAGGACATAATGTTGAGTAAGGGGCGCAAACACTAAGGGGCACCTCACCATCGGCAAATCTATCCACTTCCCCTAAGGGGCGCAAATACTTCTTTTCCTCCGGGTTCCGGAGATGCTGTAGTTTAGCTTTTCTTTTCTTTTTCCAATTCTTGTATATGTGCCATTTTGGCATGTTATTGTAAAAAACAACATCTTTTTTCTCAAGTGTTGTTTGAGTCTTTTCTTCGTTTGAACATTTATGCAAGTTTTAATCTTTGCATTCTCTTCTTTTTTCTTAAGAATTTTGCGCAAGTTTTGCTGCTTGTGTCTTATTATGTGAAGCCTTGGATGTATTTTTCCCGAAAGAATTTTGATTCCGGGCATGAGCTCTTCCGAAATCAACCCTTTAACGTGAGAGTTTTTATAAGAGAGGGCCCTCTTATATTTGCGGTGCTCTTGAAGAGGACGGCTCATGTTCATTAAGGCAGTAGCATTTGAAGTACTTGTTTAACTTTCAAATGACAAAGTTAATTCATCGTTCAGATAAGAAAAAAGATAAAAACAAAAGGACTTTATTTTATTCCTTCTATTTTCAAAAAGTACATAAGCATTTGTTATGTTGAAAAAAGAAATTGCCATTACTTGTGGCTAACTTGTACAACTTGTTTCTACGGGGTTGGTCGCACAGTCCCAGATCCCGATGATACAACTATATTTTTGATTTTCGCTTCACGGTCGACGTGGCAGTCATTGTTGCCATATCCTCATATCGTCCCCCCAGTGTTCAAATGTGAAGAATGCGAATTAGAACACTGGAAGCCTTGTACCTTCGAGGATCCCACTAATGAATTGCTAGATAATTCTTAACTCGGTAACACACTTTACTTTCCCTCAGGAATTCATGCTATCGAGCGAAGGACTATTAACAACCCTCTAGTGGTTTATACTTGTGAACGGTCAGGTAACCTTTGATCGATAGCAAACTTAGCTTCCCGGTGGGAATTTTGCTATAGAGAAAAAGATTATCTAAACATCCCAGAGTGGATCTTTGCTTGTGTGCCTTGATATTAAAGGTCTTATTGCTGCTGTTGGAGCTTTCTTCGTAGTATGCTTTCTGTTGCTGCCTCGTTAAAAACCTTGCAAGAAAAACCCAATTGGGACAAAAACTGGACGAAGGAAAAAAGAGTGCAGCACATACTTTCAGTTCTACCTGTCATATCTGCATGCGACCATGCAAAACAATCAGCATTAGATTTAAGAAATTTAATAAATCCATACCTGAGCTCTATATGCAGTCTTGTCCCCAAGTGGAATTTCATTTCTAAGACATCTTCGAACAACGCAACTTGCTCAAGCTCTTCCACTATGAATTTCGTTGCATCTGTCTCTTCTGGAACCTGGAAATATCTCGGCACCTGATAAAATTTCGATATTTTTGCCGTCGGGATAACTTCATCTAGTTCGAGAGCAGGCGTTGGTTCCTGTAATTGCTATGCCGCGTGTTCCTTTCCTTTGCTACTGGAGATCGAAATTTCATTCATCTCCCTTGCTGCTGGTTGGTCACCCCTTGTCTGTTTAACTCCTTCGAGCGTTGGAAACTTCATTAATTGATGATATATTGATGGTACAACTTTCATTTCATGTAACCCCGACCTTCCCAGAATAATGTTATATCCCATATCACTATCTATCACTTCGAAAAGAGTTATTTTCATTAATCCTTCGGCATTTATGGGTAACAAAATCTCTCCTCGGGTTGTCATACTCACGAGGTTGAATCCGGTGAGGAGTTTTTTGGCCGGAATGATACTTCCGGTGAGTTTAGCTTTCCCCAATACTCTCCATTGTATGATATTGGCCGAAAATCCCGGATCCACTATAACACATTCGATATTAAAATCTAGCACATTTAAAGAAATTACCAGTGCGTCATTATGCGGCAGTAACAATCCGTTTGCGTCCTCCTCCGTGAAAGTGATATCGTCTTCGACGACTTCCCGGAGCCTTTTGCTATCGGTTATTGATACTTTTTGTCTTTTTTACTGCCAAAAAGGTGACCCCGTTGATCTCATTCTCCCCGAAGATCATGTTGATCATTTGGTGCGGGGGATCTTCTCCTGCTTTCGAGGGTTCCGCGTTATCCCGGCTACGACCATTATTGTTCTTAGCTCGGTCACTCAAGAATTCTTTGAGATGACCATTCTTCAACAGTGTTGCCACTTCTTCTCGTAGGTATCGGTAGTCCCCTGTCCGGTGGCTATTCGTCCCATGGTATTCACACCAAAAGTTGGGATCCCTCTGGCTAGGATCAGATATCATTGGTTTTGGGAAATGTGCTTCTTTAATGTTTCTCATGGATGACACTAACTCAACTACACTGACGTTGAAATTGTATTCTAACATCTTAGGATATGAAGAATCTCATTCCCCTTACGCTTCTTTAACCTGCAATGATCTATTGTTCCGATCGCGATCAGTTCTTCTGTCGATTGAGAACCTGTCCGCTGACCGGAAGCCTCTGCCGCGGCCTTTGGTCCGTTCACAGGGAAGAAATCGGCCCCTCGAAGACCGTCAGTCCATGTCGAAATCGTCTTTTGATTTTTCTCTGTTCTTTTCCCGTCCTTTTGTCGACGATAGAAAGCCAACCTAATCATCTTTGATCTTTATCTTTGATTCATACCAGTTTGTGGACATTCTCCCAAGTCATTGCATGAAACTCAAGCAGGCTTTCCTTCAATCTCCGGGAAGCGTCTGAACTTCTCAGATTCAGTCCCTTGGTGAATGCTTCAGCCGCACATTCATCCGGGACAGCCGAGAGCAACATTCTCTCCTTCTGGAATGGGGTAACGAACTCTCGTAGTAACTCGAACTCTCCTTGCGCAATCCTAAATATGTCGGCCTTTCAGGCCTGTACTTTTCTGGGCCCCGCATGAGCCTTGATGAAAGAGTCGGTGAGCATCTCAAAGGAGTCTATGGAATGCTCGGGTAATAGTGAATACTACGTCAAGGCTCCCCTCGTGAGAGTCTCTCCAAATTTCTTCAGCAAAACATATTCAATTTCATGAGGAGCTAAATCATTTCCCTTCACCTCCATTGTATAGGTGGTAATATGCTCCTGAGGGTCTGAAGTTTCGTCATACTTTGGCACATCAGGCATTTTAAACCACTTTGGGAATAATTATGGTGCCGCACTTGGCTTGTATGAAAATTGAGTATACTTCTTTGAGTCCGGACCTTTCAGCACCGGTGGTGCGCCCGGGATTTAGTCCATACTATACAGGGGTTCACTTCCCTCATAAACCATAAGAGTTCATTCTTGAAGGGATCGTTTTCGTTATTGGGGCCGGATCCGCTCCCCCCAGCCCCATCGGAGCCAACTTCGCCCTTCGGGGTGTTGTTGTCGACCATCTGCATTGTTTGATTCGTGGGAGGACCGGGAGGAACCGGATCTCGTCTATTCGCATTATTCAAATTCCCCGACAGTGCCTGCTTCAACTCCGTCATAACCTTATCTTGTCGTGTCAACGACATATTCCTCCTTAGTATCATCGGGAGTTGTCTCCCGAACATGTTGAGGATATTGCATGTCATGTACCGGTGTGGCATCATTCCTCTCGTTGTGGGTGTCACTGATTGAGTCCTCGAAACGAGGTTGATCCCCTCGAATCTCGGGATTGTGCGTATTGTTAACACTGTTATATTCAATTTCTTATGATTTCTTCTAAGATAAAATAATCAAAACACGTTAGTAAAAAAGGCAAGGATCAACTTAATTGCACGACTGTCTAGGCCCCACGGTGGGCGCTAAACTGTTTACCCGAAAAATGATACAGTTGAATTTATACGCGGTTTCTAGACAAGTGAATTAATTCGACCCTAAAATAACAAGATAATTGAAGAAATATATAACACTTAGCCTTGATAGGAAGACGAAATGACAGAAATAAAGACTCTGGTAGTGAAGCCTCTGGGCGCAATAGTAATAAGAACAAGAACAGAAAATAAGAAGGTAAAATTGATTAAAGCTTTGAGTAGATTGTAGTATTAGTTTGCTAGAAAATTAGTGTCCTTACAATGATAACAGAGCTCACTATTTATAGCTATGTCTAGGAAAGGAGGTCCTAGAATCGTTCCCTTCTTTAATGTCAATTATGAGGGTCATTGATGAAGATGTAACGATGAGCATAAATGCTAAATTCCTTATAACGAGCAACACACTTATTGCTGTGGAATATTCTCCATTAAATGCTATCGGGCGAAAAGTATTTATTGCATACTTATGAGCGTTATTCTTTCCAGTGACAGACGGGACTGTTGCCTTCGATTTTGGCTATCCCCGTTTTAAGTTCCACGTGTTCCTCTTTTGGGCGGCCAAGTAGCATAGCATATTTTACCCTATACAATATATATATAAGGTTAAAATTATTTTCTTATGTTTATATAGTATATGTTAAATTACCTTGGCTTCTTGTATGTTTGCTACTTTAATTTATATTTTGCATCCCATTAGTGAAATCTTGTTTTTGCCACGGGAGGGGAGGTTATTAGAGAAAAAGAGTGCATAGCCAGACCTTGGATACTTGTGCTTACTAATTAAATAGGTGGCGATTCACGGAAATCAGGCTCAGATGTCACTGAATCTTATATTCTGATGCTATTTCTTGGAACATAGCACCCGAAAATCAGTCAATACTCGTTATGTTCTTTCATGCTTATTAANTATATATATAATTGGAGGGCCCTATGCCCGGTGAGGTGACACTCTCCATTAACAGCAATTCTATTTTCTATGCTTCAGGTTTTTTTTTTTGCAATTTCAAACTGAAATTACAGAAACAAAATGATTCACATACCCAACTGATTCTCCCCACACCGCTTCTTCCACTTCTTTTCATCAAACAAACAAACCTCATGTTCAACCACGTTTCCGATTTCCCTTCTTCCGGCGCCGCTTCTATCCGGCGCCGCTTCTATCCATCAAACAAACTTTCTTTAATCTTTCAATCCCCTTTTCCCTATTCAAAATCCCCCCCAGACCTATTACTTTGTGAATTAATTATTATAAACTCAACTGCATCTCCCTTCTTTGTCTATTTCTTATTTGGAGGAAACGAAAAAATAAAAAATATTCTATCTATTATTTCACAAATTCTGTTTCCTTCGACGCCAACGAAGACATCCGAAGAACACCGTCCCCTTCCTACCGTTTCAAGGAAAAATAATATTCGCTCCTTAATTGTCGGTCTGTAATTCATTTAAAGTTTAGTATTTATCATTTACGCCTATTCTTACATATTTGAGTCTCACTAACTTCTATGAACCCTAATCTAATTGTATAGGTGTGGACAAACAAGAATACCAAAACACAATCAAAATATTGAGGTACAGTCCAAACCTTATTTGTTTTTATGTTTTCCCTCCAAATAAGAACTTACAATGTCAATATTCTTGGATAGTATAATTTTTCCCCTAATCAATAACTAAGTATGTAAAGATTTTAAAACACTTTTAAAAATCCAAAAATTTCGCATTAATATGATTTTTTCACAATTGATACGAACCTTGTCGCTGATATGGAGTAAAAGAATATTTTGTTACTATTCTGAGAAAATTGTTACGAGATAATTTACCTATCCTTAATGAAAATCACCCAAATAATAGATTCCTCAGACTGTCCAATTGTCAATGAGACCGAAACTTGAAATTTTTGTTAATATTGTGGACTCTCTCCACTTTTTGAAGATGTTGTGTGTAAATAAACTGATTTCTTTTCCATAAAAGTTTTTTCCCATAAGAAAAATTTAGCTTCCACTTTTAGATGTTGTATGTATTTAATTTAGTTTACCATTATTATTCTGTTATGTTTTCCTTCCAAATAAGAACTTATATTGTCAATATTATTGGATAGTATAATTTATTTACACTAATCAATAAATAAGGATGTAAAGATTCTAAAACACTTTCAAAAATACAAAAAAATTTCACTACTATGATTTTTTCCCGATTGATACTAACTGTGCCGTTGATATGAAGTAAGGTTTGTAGGCGCTGTCGTACGAATTCAAAGAATGCTTTATTACTGATAATTTCTTTCCGAGTAAAGTTTAAGAACAACGTCTTTAAATATTCTAGAATACTATAATTTTATCCCTAATGAATAGTTAATGAGCTCTGTAACTATTTTCCCCCAAAAATCATAATTAAATCTATTACTATTCTGAAATACTATAATTATTTACCTATTAAATTATTATTTATTTTTACTAAGTGCCTACCTTGTATGGAGTATTTTTTCCTCCTACCAAAGTTCGACAACATTGTCTTTAAATGTCGATTATATATAGATTATTGGAAGATTAATATTATTATATTTGTTATGCTTAATTCTTTTGCGTTTAGGTAGATTAGCATTATTAAATATAGATGGTTGCTATATTACCGCTACTATACTTTTCTTGCTCTACTTTTTTTTGTGTAAGATTAGTATTATTATATTTGTTACGCTTAACTCTTTTGCGTTTAGGTAGATTAGCATCTATACAAGGGCAGCTTAACAAGATTTGTGGCCTAAAGCCAAAGTTTAATTGGAGGCCTTAAGCTTAAACAAAAAATTTCAATTTTTATTTGAAGTCTATTTTTTTTGCTTTTTGAGATGCAAAATTGTTAATAATTTTTTTTATAATTGATTTCTTCTAATAATTCTCTCTCAAGTGATAATATAGCTAATCTTTCTTAAGACATTGTTGATTTTAGGCAAGATTTTATTAATTATAGTTTTGAAAAAATTCCTTTCGGTGAGGCAATTATTATAGGAACTGTTAACATTATTCTATAATAAATATAAGCATTTGAAAAGGAATCAAGTTTTTTTATCTGATTGAATATATATCAATTAGAGTATTATCTTTAACTTGATTCTTTTCTTTTTACCACGAAATAGAAAACCAAAAATACTTCCATACGCTTCAAATTGTTCAGATCTATATTGAAGTGAAAAAATGGCTTGATCTACTATGTATAAGAACTAATCAACTCTAAAAGATTGTTCAAGAGACTTTGTGGTTTTATTATCATTATTTACATTAAATTATTTCTTTATATATATATTATGCGTTTATTTCAAATTGTTCTCAATATTTTCTTCTAAATAGTGATACGCCTACGATTTCTAAAAATGGGACCCCTCAAATTTGGGTGCCTAAAGCGACCTTTTTAATTGCTTCGCGTTTGAGCCGCCCCTTGCATCTATATATGAATATAAATCTAAAATCTAAAACTGGAAATGAAAAAGGTGATGTGACACTTCCTATGTTGAGCATTAGTATTTATCTAATTTTTCCTTTTTCCTACATTTTCTTCTTCATTCTACTATAGAACAAATAAACCGGTTAAAAAAAAAAAAGACATAGTGTTGCTTCTGAAAGGTCACATTAATAACGTAAGACTAACCGTTATGCTTCTGGAGTCGAACCCAAATAAATTACATTTAGTATAGGCTTTGGTCAGGTCTTTCACCGTATTTCTTCTCCCTCCAATATCCACCATGGAAAGTGCATCAATTCTAAACAAACTGAAGTATGGGTATGTCTCCTTATTCTGTCTTGCAATATAGTTCTTCTTCATTTTCTGAAATTATTAACAATGATATGATTGCTTAAATAAAAGTATTGCTATTCTTCTTTGTATGTAGTTTCAATTTTGCAGAAATGGAGACTTGCCCCCCACCGGAAGTTTTAATTGCAACGCTTCTTACTAATTTTCTCCATCTCAGAGCCATTTCACTTCTGTGTAGAAGAATTATGTCTTCTCCATTTTCAGTAGAAGCTTTTTATGATTGCCTTCAATTTTATGTCCTTTTAATCTACTATTAGTCATGACTCACACTATAACATTCTTATGACCATGTTCCCTCACCTCTAATTTTTCATCCATATTTCATATCCCCAACAAAAACAAAAACATTGTACCAGGTTCCCTCAACATTATGTCAATTTACAGTAAAAATGGGAGATTTTCCATACAGGACAAGAGTGGGTCTCTGCAAACTTCAATCTGTTTATGTGATGACGCTTCCAACTCTTGAACGGCATGTAAGCATTTTTTTGTTGATCAATTCTAATTTTTGATTGGTTAGGTTTTTAATTTTGTTAATCCTTCCACAGTATTTGCTCTTTAGATAATTAATTTGTCAATTGTTACAAAATTTTTGCTATGTAGGTGGTAGTATTATGGCGAATTTCTCATTTTACTCTATTATGTATAATTTCTTTCAATATTCCTTCGCAGAAGTAATTGAGAAATTGGCTCTTTTATGCTAGACAGGTACCATCACCACTGTTTCATTCGTATGTTACTGATACTAATGATCCTTCACTGCTTTTGTAACGACCCGACCGGTCGTTTTGAGTATTATAACCTCATTCACCCATTTACTGTTCAAGTTATATTTTACAATTATTTTATAACTTACCGGGTTAGTTGGTTCGGGTCTGGAAGTATTTCGGAGTGAAATGAGACACTTAGTCTCATAATTAAAAACTTAACTTGAAAAAGTTGACCGGATGTTGACTTATATGTAAACGACCTAGGACTTGAATTCTGATGATTCCAATAGCTCCGTATGGTGATTTTGCACTTAGGAGCGTGTCCGAAAAACTATTTGAAGGTCCGTAGTGGAATTAGGCTTGAAATGGCGAAAGTTAAATTTTTGGAAAGTTTGACCAGGGATTGACTTTTTGATATCGGGGTCGGAATTCGATTCTGGAAATTTGAATAGGTCTGTTATGTCATTTATGACTTGTGTGCAAAATTTGAGGTCAATCGGACATAATTTGATAGGTTCCGGCGTCGTTTGTAGAAATTAAAAGTTTCAAAGTTCATTAGGCTTGAATCCGTGTGGAATTCGTGTTTTGATGTTGTTTGAGATAATTTGAGGATCCGACTAAGTTCGTATTGGGTTATAAGACTTGTTGGTATGTTTGGTTGAGGTCCTGGGGGCCTCGGGTTGAATTCGGGTGGTTAACGGACTTGGAAGTAGGTTGAAGAAGCAGCTGAAGTTTTGCTGTTGCTGGTGTAATCGCACTTGCAGAGTGGGAATCGCAGATGCGAGCCCGCAGAAGCGGGGAGGGAGCCGCAGAAGCGACCATGAAGGATTTGGGTAGAAGCCGCATATGGGAGTTGTGGGCGCAGAAGCGCTTGTGCAGAAACGGGAAGAAGGGTGCAGGTGCGGGCAGGCGCGCAGGTACGATGGAATTTTCCGTACCGAGGTGCAGATGCGGTCCAAGGCTTGAGTTACATGAGAAGAATTATCCGGTCCATGACCTTGAATTAGCAGCTATTGTTCATGCCTTGAAGATTTGGCGGCATTATTTGTACGGTGTCCATTGTGAGGTTTATACCAATTACCGGATTCTGCAGCATCTATTTAAACAGAAGGATCTTAATTTGTGGCAGCAGAGGTGGTTGGAGTTGCTTAAGGATTATGATATCACCATTCTTTATCATCCTGGAAAGACCAATGTGGTGGAAGTGGGAGCGTATTAAAGAGCGAGCTTCAGACACCGGGAGGATTGCTTCAGAGACTTGAAATTCCAGAGTGGAAGTGGGAGCATATTACCATGGACTTCGTAGTTGGGCTCCCATGAATTTTGAGAAAGTTTGATATTGTTTGGGTGATTGTAGATCGTTTGACCAAGTATGCGCATTTCATTCCAGTTAGTACTACTTATTCTTTGGAGTGATTGGCTAAGATTTATATCCGCGAGATTGTTCGCCTACACGGGGTGCCCGTGTCCATCATTTCGGACCGGGTCACACAGTTTACATTACAGTTTTGGAGAGCAGCGCAGCGAGAATTGGGCACACAGGTTCAACTGAGTATAACATTTCACCCTCAGACGGACGGACAGTCCAAGCGCACTATTCAGATATTGGAAGATATGCTACGCACTTGTGTTATAGATTTTGGAGGTTCTTGGGATCAATTTCTGCCACTGGCAGAGTTTTCTTACAATAACAGCTACCAATTGAGCATTCAGATGGATCTGTATGAGGCTTTATATAGGAGACAGTGTCGTTCTCCGGTGGGTTGGTTTGAGCCGGGTAAGACTAGGCTATTGGGTACTGATTTGGTTCATGATGCTTTGGAGAAGGTTAAACTGATTCAGGAGCGGCTTCGCACGACGCAATCTAGACAGAAGAGTTATGTCAACCGGAAGTTCCGTGATGTTACTTACATGGTTAGGGAGAAGGTTCTGCTCAAGATTTCGCCCATAAAGGGTGTGTTGAGGTTCGGGAAGAAGGGCAACTTGAGCCCTCGGTATATTGGGCCTTTTGAGGTACTTAAGAAGATTGGAGAGGTGGCTTATGAACTTGCTTTTCCACCTAGTCTATCAGGTGTTCATCCAGTGTTCCATGTATCCATGCTCTGAAAGTATGTCGGGGATCCGTCTCATATATTGGATTTCAGTGCAGTGCAGCTGGATGGTGATTTGACTTATGATGTGGAGTCGGTGACTATTTTAGACCGACAGGTTCGAAAGCTGAGGTCAAAGAACATAGCATCAGTGAAGGTACGGTGGAGAGGCCAGCCAGTCGAAGAATCTACTTGAGAGATTGAACAGGAGATGCAGAGCAAATATCCGCACCTATTTGAGACTCCAGTTATGATTCTAAACTCGTTCGGGGACGAACATTTATTTAAGAGGGGGAGAATGTAATGACTCGGCCGGTCGTTTTGAGTATTATAACCTCGTTGCCCCATTTACTGCTCAAGTTATGCTTTACAGTTATTTTATAACTTACCGGATTAGTCGGTTCGGGTCCAGAAGGATTTCGGAGTGAAATGAGACATTTAGTCTCATAATTGTAAACTTAAGTTGGAAAGGTTGACCGGATGTTGATTTATGTGTAAGCGACCTTGGATTTGAATTATGATTATTCCAATAGCTCTGTATGGTAATTTTGAACTTAGGAGCATGTCCGAAAAATTATTTGAAGATCCGTAGCGGAATTAGGCTTGAAATGGTGGAAGTCGAATTTTTGGGAAGTTTGACCGGGGGGATGAGTTTTTGATATCGGGGTCGGAATTCGATTTTGAAAATTTGAACAGGTCCGTTATATCATTTATGACTTGTATGCAAAATTTGAGGTCAATCGGACATGATTTGATATGTTCCGGCGTCGTTTGTAGAAATTGGAAGTTTCAAAGTTCATTAGGCTTGAATCCGTGTGGAATTCGTGTTTTGATGTTGTTTGAGGTAATTTGAGGGTCCGGCTAAGTTTTTATTGGGGCCTCGAGTTGAATTCGGGTGGTTAACGGACTTGGAAGTAAGTTAAAGAAGCAGATGAAGTTTTGCTGCTGCTGCTGCTGCTGGTGTAATCGCACCTGCGGAGTGGGAACCGCAGGTGCGAGCCCGCAGAAACGGGGAGGGAGCCGCAGAAGCGGTGGATTTGGGCAGGGGCCGCAGATGCAGACTTGTGGGCGTAGAAACGCTTGAACAGAAGCGGGAAGAAGGGCGCAGGTGCGGGCAGGCGCGCAGGTGCGATGGAATTTTCCGCACCTGTGAAGGCACAGATGCGGTCCAAGGCTCGCAGAAGAGGAGGCAGTTGGGCTAAGTGACTTCCGCAGATGCGGTGTTTTCATTGCTGAAGCGGGACCGCAGATGCAGAAATATGGTTGCAGGTGCAAAAGCACTGGGCAGTGTACAAAACAGAAGGGTCCGAGAGATTTTGTCTTTTTTGACATTTTCAATAGCGGGTGAGGCGATTTTTGAGCGAGAAATCATGGAAAATCTTGAGGTAAGTCACTTATGATCATTTCTACTCCATAATATTGAATTATCATCGAATAATCTGACTAGATTACATGTTTTTGAGGTGTAAATCGGGAATTTGAACTTAGGAATTTGAAAATATGATTTGAAGATTTGGAGGCCGAGTTGAGGTCGGATTTTGGTAAAATTGGTATGGTTAGACTCGTGGTTGAATGGGCTTTCGGGTTTCATATTTTTTGTCGGGTTTAGAGACGTGGAGCCCACGGGCGATTTTTGAGCTAAATTTCGGATTTTGTTGGAGAATTAGTATTTTCTTATGGAATTAATTCCAATAAATTTTATTGACTGAATCAAATTATTTGTGGCTAGATTCAAGCCATTTGGGGGCCAATTCACGAGGCAAAGGCATAGCAGAATAAAGAATTACACGGTTTGAGGTAAGTAACAGTTCTAAATTTGGTCCTGAGGGTATGAAACTCCGGATTATGTGTTATGTGATCGGTTTTGAGGTGACGCACATGCTAGGTGACGGGCATGTGGGCGTGCACCATAGGAATTGTGACTTGGTCAAATTCTATGGAACTGTGTAGTTGAATAATCTGTTGTTATCTGTACATTTTCCATGTAGTAGAGAAATTGAACCACAAATCATGTCTAGATTATGTGTTGGCACTGTAGGGACCCACAGAGGTCGTGTACATGTTGAACTATCTACTTAATTGTTGTTTTGTACTCAGTCATAGTTTACTTATTTATTTTATCTTAGTCTCTATTGTTCATTATTGATGCATCATATCATTGTTGTTTGAACTGATTTCATGATTATTAAGAGCCCGAGAGACTGGAGAGATTTATGACTGAGTGAGACTGATGACCTGATTATGAGATATTATATTATAGCACGTGAGTTGTGCGTGCAGCACGTGAGTTGTCCGTGCGGATTCATATATTATATTATAGCACGTGAGTTGTCCGTGCAGCACGTGAGTTGTCCGTGCGGATTCATATATTATATTATAGCACGTGAGTTGTCCGTGCAGCACGTGAGTTGTCCGTGCGGATCCATATATTACACTATAGCATGTGAGTTGTTCGTGCAGATCCAGATATCGATACTATAGCACATGAGTTGTTCGTGCAGCATGTGAGTTGTCCATACGAATTATAGAGCTTGGGCTATAGGAGCCCCTCCGGAGTCTGTACACACCCCCAGTAAGCGCATATACCTACTGAGTGCGAGTGCTGAGTGAATGGAATTGAGTGACTGTGTTCCTGAGAGGATGCATTTGATTTCATTATTGTTGCACTTCAGCTGGCATATATCACTGTTTTGGAAATTTCTAAGAGATATTATCTTATGTTTCAGTTGAACTTGACATGAAATTACTGTTTTGGCCTTAAATGTTGAACTTGAAAGCATGCCTACCTTATTATGTTGGAAATTACTATAATTGGACTCAACTGTGAAGTTCGTCACTACTTTCAGTTCTTTATTTAGTATTGTTACTTACTGAGTTGGTTGTACTCATACTACACCCTGCACCTCGTGTGCAGATCCAGGTACTTCTGGACACATCGGTTGCTAGTTTTCAGAGTTTTATCTATTGGAGATTATCGAGGTAGCTGTTTGGCGTCCGCAGACCTTGACTCTCTTTCCTTTTAGTTTTTTTATTGTTCTATATTTTCAGGCAGTGTTTTTAGCAGTCAAACTTTCTTATCATTTAGATGCTCATGTACTCAGTGACACCGGGTTTTGTGAGTATTTATATTTGTACTTGTGAGATTTCTTACGTTGAATTTAATTATTGTTTTTTCAAATTTAAAAGATATGTGGTTTATTGAGATTGTCGGCTTGCCTAGTATTAAGATAAGCGCCATCACGACGGGTGAGATTTTGGGTCGNATATATATATATATATATATATATATATATATATATATATATATATATATATATATATATATACGCTCTAATCTTTTTTTATGCGTGATTCGGTGTTAATACAATATACTTGACCTTTCCGTCTATTTGAGGTAATTCTTTTTGCCAACACTGTCTCACAACTTGCAAAAATTGGTTTGATTTCTGCTTTGTTATTGTCACGACCCCAATTTCTCTCCGTAGGATGTCGTGATGGCACCTAATCTCTAAGACTAGGTAAGCCTAACAAATTGCGGAATAACTGAAAATAAAACTGAACTCAAATCTCAACACATGAAATATAAATAGAACATGCGATTCAAATAATTATAACTCCCAAAACCCGGTAGATATAAGTCACACGTTTCTAAGAGAAAATACTAAATGTATCTATACATCAGAGTTTAAAGAGAATAAGGAAAACAAAATAGTAAGGATATAGGGGGACTCCGATGTCTGCGGATGCTGATAGATATACCTTGAAGTCTCCACGTACGGTCCAGCTCAGTGGTATCTGGCCTGGTAGGAGGAACCTGGATCTACACAAAAAGATGTGCAGAAGTGTAGAATGAGTACACCACAACGGTACCAAGTAAGTGACAAGCCTAACCTCGGTAGTGTAGTGATGAGGTCAGGACAGGGCCCTACTGGAATAAAAGGTAATAAGGCAGAAAATATAATATTACAATGAAGTGACTGAGAAATGAACAACGAGAAATTACAGAAAGGTAACAACACAGCAAATAGAGGAAAACAACAGGGGCGCTCTCGAGGTATCACCTCGTAGTCCCAAATATAAATACACAACAGGGGGATCTCCAGAGGTACTGCCCCGTACTCCCAAAAGTAAATATGTAACGGGGGATCTTCCGAGATACCACCTTGTAGTCCCAAAAGTAAATATGCAACAGGGGGTTCTCCTGAGGTACCGCCTCGTAGTCCCAAAGTAAATATGCAATGGGGGATCTCCCGAGGTACCGCCTCATAGTCCCAAAAATAAATACACAACTCATAACATATGGACAAACGAATTTACAGCAAGGAACCATACGGTTAAAGGCTGAATACAAGATCACGGAGTCAAGTAATTCAACTAAACATGTTGCACAAAATTTCAAGTAAAAGTTAAGACACGTAGACATGCGATACTAGGCTAAACATGACAGCTACACATGCTAAGGAAAATCAGTTAAGGAATTTAAAAGAAGACTACTCAGCAAGAACCAAAATTTCCACATTTAGCCCGTGTACGCACTCGTCATCTCCCGTACACGACACTCATATATGACAAATTATTACAACAGTGCCAAATCCTAAAGGGATTTCCCCCACACAAGGTTAGACAAAGCACTTACCTCAAATCTCGCTTAATCAATCGATAAGAACGCCTTTCCCTCGGCTTTCCGACTCCGAACGGTCCAAATCTAGCCAAAAGTAATTACATACTATAAATACAATTACAAGAAACTAATTTGAATATTAAAACTTCTACTTTAGCAAAGAATTAAAAATACGCCCCAAAAGGTCGACCCCGGGCCCACATCAGGTAAAAGTCACAAAATACGAATACCCATTCGATATCAAGTTCACCCATACCAAAATTACTCAAATTCGATAAAAAATTCTCGATCAAAACCTCAAAATTTGGTCTAAGGACTTTTTTCCACCTTTTTCACAAATTTCACAACCCAAATCCTTAATTAAAGGAAGAATAAATGATATCTTAGTGGAAATTAATCAAAAACAAGTCAAGAATAAATGATATCTTAAAAATGGAGAATGAAATTAAACCCTCGGAATTGGCCCTTGTCTACCCAGTGAAGTCGCACCTGCGAACCCACAGCCACATCTGCGGCTCCGCACCTGCGGAGTTTCCGTCGCAGGTGTGGTTCTAACTTAGTCCAGGCTCGTCCGCTTCTGTGGACCCAAATGCACCTCTGCGCTTCCGCTCCTGCGGCCAAGGAGCGCTTCTGCGCATGCATTCCATCGGACCTCGTCCGCATCTGCGATCAACAGGCCTCCCTGACCTTTCCGTTTCTGTGCTCATACTTCCGCAGAAGAGACTCCGCTTCTGCGGCCTTCACGTCGCACCTACGAACACATGCCACCTTCTCTAGGTCTGCTTCTGCACTTGGCCTCACACTTTTACGGGCCCGCACCTGCGCTCAATCTTGCACAGGTGACGTTGCACCATAACTGGTGCACTTTAGCCATTCTTTAAACTTCAACTTGATCTATTAACCATCCGAAATCAACCCGAGGCCCCCGGAACCTCAACCAAACATACTAACAAGTCCTAAAACATCATACGAACTTAGTCGAGCCTCTAAATCACATCAAACAACGCTAAAAATATGAATTGCGTATCGATTCAAGCCTAATGAACTTTAAAACTTCAAACTTTTACACCCGATGCCGAAATCTATCAAATCAAGTCCGATTGACCTCAAATTTTGCACACAAGTCATAATTGACATTACAGACCTACTCCAACTTTCGAAATCAGAATCCGACCCCGATATAAAAAAAGTTCACTTCCGGTCAAACATTTCAAAAATTATTCAATTTCCAACTTTCGCCAATTGATGCTAAAATGACCTACGAACCTCCAAATCAACATCCGGACATACTCTTACGACCAAAATCACTCTACGGAGCTATTGGAACCGTCGAAACTCTATTCCGGAGTCGCCTTCACACAGTTCAAACTACGGTCAATTCCTACAACTTAAACTCCCAATTTAGGGACTATGTGTCCCATTCCACTATGAAACTCTCCCGAATCCGACACCAAGCACCCCGGCACGTCACAAAACCCAAAAATGAAATAGAGGGAGAAATAAATAGGAATTCGGGGCTAATACTCTCAAAACGATCGGCCGGGTCGTTACATCCTCCCCCTCTTAAAACAAATGTTTGTCCTCGAACGAGTATAGAGACATACCTGAAGTGGTGAAAAGATGAGGATAACGGCTGCACATATCATGTGCGGTATCCCAAGTCGCCTCCTCAACCGGATGACCCTTCCACTGAACCTTCACTGAAGTGATGCTCTTTGACCTCAACTTTCGAACCTGCCTGTCCAAAATAGCCATCGGCTCCTCTACATAAGATAGATCCTTGTCCAACTGGACTAAGCTGAAGTCTAACACATGGGACGGATCACCGTGATACTTCCGGAGCATGGAAACATGGAATACTGGATGAACTGCAGAGAGATTAGGTGGCAATGCAAGTCTGTAAGCCACCTCTCCAACCCTCTCATGAATCTAAAAATGCCCGATATTCCTAGGGCTCAACTTGCCCTTCTTTCCGAACCTCATAACACCCTTCATGGGCGAAACCCAGAGCAAAACCCGCCCCCAACCATGAATGCAATGTTGCGAACCCTCCGATCCGCATAACTCTTCTGCCTGGACTGGGCTGTACGAAGTCGATCCTAAATTAATTTAACCTTTTCCAAAGCATCCGGAACCAAGTCTGTACCCAATGGCCTAGCCTCGCCCGGCTCGAACCGACACTGTCTACCATAAAAAGCCTCATACGGGGCCATATGAATTCTCGTCTGATAAATGTTGTTGGAAGCAAACTCCACTAATGGCAAGAATCGATCCCAAGCACCCCCAAAATCCATCACACACGCACAAAGCATATCCTCCAATATCTGAATAGTGCGCTCGGGCTGACCGTCCGTCTGAGGGTGAAAGGTTGTACTCAACTCCACCCGAGTACCCAAATCATGTTGTACGGCTCTCTAGAACCGTAATGTAAACTGTGTACCCCGGTCAGAGATGATAGATACCGGTACGCCATGAAGCCTGACAATCTCGCGAATGTAAACTTAAGCCAGCTACTCCGAAGAGTAAGTAGTAACCACCGGAATGAAATGAGCTGACTTGGTCAATCTATCCAGAATCACCCAAAGTGCATCAAACTTCCTCTGAGTCCGTGGGAGCCCAACGACGAAATCCATAGTGATCCGCTCCCATTTCCACTCTGGAATCTCTAACTTCTGAAGCAATCCACCCGGTCGCTGATGCTCATACTTTACCTGCTGACAATTTAGGCACCGAGCTACATATTCCACTATGTCCTTCTTCATCCGCCTCCACTAATAGTGATGTCTCAATTCCTGATACATCTCCACAGCACCTGGATAAATGGTGTACCGCGAACTGTGAGCCTCATGGAGAATCAACTCACGCAAACCATCTACATTATGCACACATAGTCTGTCTTACATCCGTAATACACTGTCATCTACAATAGTGACTTCCTTGGCATCACCATGCTGAACCGTATCATGAAGGACAAGAAGATGGGGGTCATCATATTGACGCTCTCTGATACAATCATAAAGAGAAGACCGAGAAACCACACAAGCCAAAACTCTGCTCGGCTCGGAAATATCCAATCTAACAAATTGGTTGGCCAAGGCCTGAACATCCAAGGATAAAGGCCTCTCTGCTACTGGTAGATATGCTAAACTACCCAAACTCTCCGACTTGTGACTCAAGGCCTCGGCCACCACATTGGCCTCCCCGGGATGATAGAGGATGATGATGTCATAATCCTTAAGCAGCTCCAACCATCTCCGCTACCGCAAGTTAAGAGCCTTCTGTTTAAACAGATGCTGTAAACTCCGGTGATCAGTGAAAACCTCACAAGGGACACCATACAAATAGTGCTGCCAAATCTTCAAGGTATGAACAATAGCTGCTAACTTGAGGTCGTGGATAGGATAGTTCTTCTCATACACCTTTAGCTCTCTAGATGCGTAGGCAATCACCCTACCGTCCTGCATCAACACCGCGCTGAGACCAATGCGTGATGCATCACAATACACTGTATAGGA